CAGAGCAGCTCCTGAGCTCGAACTGTGACCTTGCACTTAGTAGCAGAGGGTTTTAACTACTGTGTCATTAAAGGTCCTTGCATGGTACATAATGCAAATATTTGGAATTTCAACTACTTATTCTAATATTTAATTTCATATTCAATGTAACTCAATGTATGTCAATGTGGATGAGTCAAATAGTTTCAGATTCATTTCACTTTCAAGGCAGAAACATAAATATTGGCAGAAGTATTGAGCAAGAAAATGTTCCCTCGTGCATCATAATTAGTGCACGTTTATACTCTCCAGCTTGGTAAAATGTTTTGCCTGGGGCTGCTTTTTTGTGAACACTTGAAATTTCCAACAATGCAAATTTCAAGAGATTAGACATATATTTGGTGAATCTGTGTAGATTTCACAAATTTAGTGGCTGAACAAAGTCAGGTTAAGAGGTGCTTGTACACAGTCAGCTTCAGCCACACTCTGACAATTACTTATTTAATTTGATCCATGTAAACAGCCAACTTGGTCAATGTTAAGCCCCATATTCACCCTGACCTTAATGGGCATCTAGTTTTGGTCAAATTAATCATAAGGTCAATTGGTTTTCCCCTAATAGTTGCAGGCAGTATTCAGAGACTCGGAAGAGCCTCACAAAATCAACTGTTGTCCCTCAGCTAACAATTCTCTGATTTATACTCTCAGGGTCAAAAGCGTCTTTTATGCTAATTGTCAATGGCACCCAGGATAGTCGGGAAAAGCTCCAAATGATGCATTCCCGTGGCCTGGGTAGAATAGTTACCGTTTAACATTAACAATAATGTGTTATGCTTTTTTTTTCCAATAGAACATTTGCTAACAGATTAAATTTGTATTTTTCACCCGGTTTGCATTTATCACTGAGTGGATTGATTATTTGTGAGTTCCTATTAAAATCAGGAAGCAGTGTGACTTACAGGCGATTCAGTTAATTAGCAGGGCAATGTTCTTTTTTCCCAAATTTAATTGAACTCTGTGTGTGTGTGTGTGTGTGTGTGAATATACTACGCTAAATGTGAATTGCTTGTGTGTGTGTATGTGAATAGACTGCTCTACATGTGAGCTATTTGTGTGTGTATGAGTGTGTGTGTGTGTGTGTGTGTGAATAGACTGCTCTACATGTGAGCTATTTGTGTGTGTATGAGTGTGTGTGTGTGTGTGTGAATAGACTGCTCTACATGTGAGCTATTTGTGTGTGTGTGAATAGACTGCTCTACATGTGAGCTGTTTGTGGTAGGGTAATCCAAGCCTCTAATGCCAGAGTCTTCCAAGTCCTTGCCCTGTACACTGTAGAGCAGCATGATCCTGTTATACAGCAGAGCAGACACCAATGTTCTGTGATCTGTAGTTGTTATTTTACTGAATATCTCAAACCTTCCTAAATGATTTTACTGTCTTATCAGTATTTAGCATGCCCCTCTAGGCTTTGGGAAGTCAAGCTATTCACATTTAGTTATTTTCAATTTTCATTTAAGGAAATCTTGAGTAGTTCCTACATTGCTTATCTGATATTTTGGGTTTGCTTTGGTTTATCTACAGGTTCCCAGGAATGAAGGTCCTAAATAGCTTGGCAAAAGTCTCATCCCCTATAGAACAAATAATGAAGTATTGCCCTAAGCCAGTGGTTCTCAACCTGTGGGTCACGACCCCTTTGGTGGCCAAACAACCCTTGCATAGGGGCCACCCGATTCATAACAATAGCAAATTATAGTTATGAAATAGCGAAAATGATTTTATGGTTGGGGGTCACCACATCATGGCCTGTATTAAACAGTCCCAGCATTAGGAAGGTTGAGAGCCACTGCCTAAGCTCTGCATTTGATTCAAGGACACTAGGACAACCAACAGCAGAGCATCCCTTTGAACAGCTTACGTTAGCCAAATTCAAGATTCATTTTGAATTTGCTCATGAAACTCATTCACCAAATTAGAAAAGCCTATTTTGATAGCCCAGTGGTGAGGTGGGCCGCAATCTGAACGGTCGTCCCGTGGAAGCCCTCAGCAGCTCTGCTGGAGCAAGACTGGACGTTGGGCCCTTAGACACAGTCAGTCTCACCGGTCACGATGAGGCAGCATTGACTCGGCAGCAGTGAATGAGTGACGTTTTCGATAACGTGAAAAACATCAAATAGTGCTAACTACAGGTTCTGATAATTAGGAGAAGATGTTTTTAAGCTACTTCATTTGTCCAGATGTAGTCGGTGCATCTTCCATGTGTCCACTGATCGATGGAAGGTCTTTGGAGCACAGCCACAAAATGGACCGGGAAGGGTTAGAATCTTGAACAATGTGTTTCTCTGTAAATGTGCTTCTGGTAAAGGTATGGATCTTAAAGCACTCAACTTCAGTAGCTAGGGAGCTCTTACAGTTTTCTAAGCTTATCAGTTAAATTTGCCGATTGACATTTAATCATATCTTTACTGATCTACTCATTTGATGATTGAGGTAAAAAAAAATCCAGCAAAAAATCAACAAAATGTATAATCATGTTGTAGCTTTAGTATACCAGCGTTAAATGTGATAACTTATTTATTAATTAAAGTGGCTTAATAATTTGTACTTTACAAGGATTTAAAGCAGTAGTATAGTGTACTCCTCTATCTGTTACTGTTGACTTATTTGTCATTTAATTTGATATAAGTAAACTTTAAAAAAAAACAAGATGATAAGAGAGAATGGAAGAAAAAGGAACAAATTTGATTACTTTTTGAATATGCATTGAGGATGCACTATTACCACCTCCAGTAGTTGAGACAGCTGTACCATTACTAACCGGAGTTTGAACATGTGTTGGTGTTGTTTTTTTTAGACAGGGAACTTATTGAGAGGACAATGGCATGACTTGGAAAATATCTTAAACACGTTTTCCAATAACCGGCAATCCATATAACATTATTATTGACATCGTCACTGTATACTAAGCAGGCAAGGGAAAAGCATGATTAAGCATGTACTTGATGCAGAGAATTTAATAGTTATTTTGGGTAGTCTGTTTTCATTATTGCTCCTGGTTATCCTTTCAAAGCATCTGAATATTTTATCTTCCTGTTCAATCAGCAATCAACCATTTTACCTCCTACCTATATACCTAGCTGGTTTTCAACCAACCTACCTAGGCAGCATATAGGACAGCAAATTTACAAATAAATAACAATGTCCTCCCTTCATTATAAAGGGTGATATGACAGCTCTGTCCTGAGTGTCTCCTGTTCCCGTTTCCCTGTGCTTCCGCTTTAGAACGAGCTTTTATCATCTCTAGTTCTCCTAGTTCTTTGTTTGTTTGTTTAAATAGGCCGACAGAGTGTGTATTACAAAACACAGGAGCAGTCTGCAGATTTGAAACCTACATATTGATTATTTTCCACTTTTTAAAGGGCTCCATGCTTATGAAAGAAAAACAAGGAAACTTTAAATGGCTTCCTAACATCTGATCACCTCAAACGATTTCCATTTTAATAGATATCTTTCCTGTATGCTTTTAAGTACTATATGCTCTTACCAAATTACATGCAAATGAGTCTTCCCTCTTCCCATCCTAGCCCTTCTTTGTAGCTCCTGTGTCTCTTATCTTGCTGCCCCCTTTGGATCACTGGTTTTCCTTTCCATCCACTCTGCTTAATTCAAATGTGAAGTTCAAGTCATTTAAACTCTCAGTCCTAAATTTCCCTAGCTGTTCATTTCACTCCCTTCATCCCCTAGTATCATAAGGATTTCTTCCATTTCTAAACTTGTGTAAAGCATTGGAAATACCCGTGGTTATTTCCCTTGGCCCTGTAGGCACTGATGAGTAAGCACAGGCATGCTAAGCTGGATGTCAGTGGTTCACATTACTAACCATGGCACCAGAGAAAGATGAGGCTGTCCGCGCTGGTAGAGATCTACAGCCTCTGAAGCTCTGTATAGCTGGCATAGACTTGCGAGCAGTCGCTTTGAGATTTTGAGGACAGTAAAAGCTCCTTGGCCACCAATGTTTATAGCACAGTGCTGCAACAGATCAAGCCTTCATTAAAGGGTTGTTGATTGGATAAATGAAAGACCGAATGGATGAACATGGTCTAACTATTTTTATTAATAATTTAGAGTTAGCTGGAAGTTCTCAAATAATATTTTATGCTTCATAGTGTGTACTTGGTCAGGACAAAAAAAACCCCCTAATTTTCAATCTACATTGTATTGGAAGATACCAACGTTGGTGGTATATTATCCTTGTGTATGTTGTGAGATAGTTCATGTAGGCTTGACGTGAACTCTTCCTCTAAAAATGCTTCTCAGATTTGCCTGCTAAAGCCACTGAGTCCCTAATTTTTTGGCACTGGGAGATTTTTTTATACTAGATCTATTCTTCTTATGTTATGGGCTTGTTGGTATTGTCTACACCTGTTAATTTAGGCAGGTAATTCACTTCTAGAAATGTATCCATGTTTTTCTAGGTTTTCAAATTTGTTGGGATAACTCATTTTTTATGCAGAGGAAATTTTGTGCTTATAATTTGATGTTTCTCATACTGTAAGATCTAATTTTTGTCATGAATTTACTTCATTATCAAACTCAAACATAGTATATACTGATAATGCCCTGAATTTTAAAATTATGTAGTTTACATTTAGTATAAATTAATATTTAATATTACATTTTTTGAATGTTCATATTCCCCTTTTCTATTTTTTCAGTGTTGTCTCCTTTCAAATGGTTTTTTTAGATGTGATATATATGTTAGGTTTATGTCACTCTAGTGTCTACTCACCATTCTTCACTGAGCAATATGTAGTTGATTAAGGATTTAGATATGCCATTATGCTGTCTGCATACTTCTGCTGTATTAATTCCTTACCTACATTAAATTAGTTGTATGGTAAACACAATTTGCACTAACTCAGATAATAAACTAGATAAATATGAACAGTTCAAAAATAGAATTTCTCATTATAAGGGAATTCAAGATTTTGAAATAGTTTCCTATAAGTTCCTTTTTTTTTTTAAACGGGAGCGTGCAAACACAGTCCCCTACTACCACAAATTATGCAGTTGAGTTTCCCGCATTTGGCAAATTGCAGGGGTCAGCACATCCGCAGTGCAATGGGTGATCCTCGCCCTGGGAATACCACCTTCCTGATCATGGTGTCTCCCCTGCCAGGTCCTTTTTTGCCTATACATGTGTTAAATCAATTTCTATGTGAGTCAGCTGTGTATAGCCATGACCATGTTCTGAATGTACAGTATTAATAGGACAGATAGCAAGTCCTTTAACCATAAATTAATGATAGAAGCTGTAAGGCGAGATAATTAAAATGAGCACTAATATCTTTTATAAAAGCAAAGTAGAAAATCATTAAATACAGAATTGTCCTGGGAATAATATTAAGCTTCCCTTTTCTTCTTTTATTAGTCATTCCTTTAGGAAAATTTTTTATTGAAAACCTGCTTGCGCGCGACACTCTACTCCATGACTAGGTTTCCAAGAGCAAAGCACCATAGACACATCTTTGTATTTATGCAGCATATCTCAGGAAAACCAAAACCCTCACAACCACACTCAGAGGAAACAGCATGGTCCTGGGGAAAAGGTGGAAGGTGTCAACGATTTTGTCTACTTGGATACCTAATCCGTGTTCATGGAAAGAACTGTCACGAGGTCAAAAGACATGTTGCAGTAGGTAAATCTGCTTCACAAGACTTCTTTAGAGTCTTGAAGGGCAAGGATGTTACTTTGAGGACTATGGTGCACCTGGCCCAAGCCACAGTATTCTTCATTGCATCACATGCATGTGAAAGTTGGACATTGAAAAAGGAAGACCGAAGAAGAATTGATGCGTTTGCCGGAGAAGACTATTGAAAGTCCCATGGACTGCTAAATGGGTGAACAGATTTGTATGGGAAGAAGTAAGCTCCTTAGAGGCAAGGAAGGCAAGACATCATCTTACATATTTTGGACATGTTTGTAGGAGATATCATTCCCTGGAGAAGAGCATCATGTTTGCTAAAGAAGAAGGATGGTGACAAAGAGGAAGGCCCTCTGTGACATGGGTTGACACAGTGGCTCCATCAGTGGGTTCAACCATAGGAATAATTGTGAGGATGGTGCCGGACCTGGCACCGTTTCCTTCTGTGGTGCACATGGTCTTTATAGGTCAGACCTGACTCGATGGCACCTAGCAGCATGCCGACTATATTCACATCTAACAGATTCACCTCTGTAGACAAGGGCTGCCCGCAATGTCTCAAGAAAGTGCTCATGAAAGAGGGACCCCATGGGGATGTTAGTGGAGATTTCACAAAAGATAATAACTCAAGAAATATGACTGGGAGTTTATAAAAAAAAATAAGCAAAAGATAAGAAAGTTAAATGCAAAGCATTTGGTAGAGACAATGAGAAGGAAGTCTTTCACACAATCGTGGGAGTAGGCAGAATGTGTTTTGGACCCACCTGGTGCAGAGAGTGTGGGAGAAAGATTGGGCTTTCTACTCCCATCAATAGTTACTGTCTCAGACACCCACAGAGGGTCGCTATGAGTCAGCATTGATTCGATGACAGTGAGTTTGGTGAAGTAGAGTAGCCCAGAGCTGTGAAATTTAGTCATTTAAACTAATGTTAGCTTAAAAGCCAAGCGAAAAATGATTTTTAAATAAGAAAATAACTTTCTGTGGAAAAAAGTACTCTTAAGGTAGCATGGAGAGTAGAGGAAGGTAGAGATTTTAAAAATGTCCCTGAGACCTGTTAGAATAGGTAAAACGAGAAATACAGAGTCTCAATAGTGGTAGATATGGAGCGAAGCCAAATTATGGCGCTCACTAGCTGTGCTGGTTGATTAGACAGGAGATGAGTAAAAGTCTGAGGTTTCACGGAGACCAAAACACAAATAAGGCTTTCCCCAAATTGACTGATTGGGGTCTAATATGAGTCACCCCAACCATCAGGTGGAGGGATCCCCGGTATCTATAATGGTCAGTGAATGCCCTGGATGTACAAAACTTAATGTGGAGACACAACAATACATAGTATTCATCAGGTGCATGTCTGTTCCATGAGAAAATTTAAAATGAGGACCAGTAAGTAGACCTTTCTAGAGAGATACTCAAAAGTTTCCATGATAGTCTTTGGGTTCTTACAGTACTTTGCTAAGTAGCTAAAGAACTACGTACCACCCTAAGCAGCCTTTTACTTCCACAAGCTCTGCATGTTTGGAAGTTCATTCTACAGGGCAGACTAGCAGGGTAGTGCAGCACAAACTAAGTGTGGGTTGTTTTTTGTTGTTGTTGTTTATTTTTTAATCAATGAGATCCAACTTGGAATCTTGGCTCTACAGAAATGTTATTTTACCTTGGGATAATTGCTTAACCTCTCTGAAATGTAGTTTCTCCACCTATATAACAGGGCTAGTGTTATCTATCTCAAGCGTGGAATTGTTAATTGAGAATTTATTAGCTCAGCACCCAGTTTGCTAATCAAAAGCTCTCACTAGTAGCGGAAATTATAGAAATGGTTGTTATTACTATTATTGGTAGCCTTTACTGTTATTACTATAAATGGTAGCCTTTATTAAGAATAAATGCTTTATAACCTGTCTTAGTTCTGCTCCATCCATGCCTTTACTTGTCCCTCCAAATACATTCAATTTCATCCTCATTTGAGCTCCTTGCCTGCCTTCCCTCTTAATACCTTTCTTTAACTGAAATTATAATGTATATATCTTTGCTTCATACATTCTATTTGATAAGGCCTTTATCCACTGTTGTGGTCTCTCGGTCTTGGTTATCATACACAGTACATAGTATAAGCACGTTATGGTTTTAAAATTAGTAACATAAACAACAGATTTAGTTTAGTGGTAACTAACATAGGATTAATCATACCAAATTGCATAGACTACTAACTTGTCTCCTAACTACTAACTGTGGCCTCAGAGGCAATGGTTTACAGTGTCTCAGTGGTGCATACTGTGTAATAGAGAAAAACAAATAACGTTTGCATGAAAAATCAGAGATTTGTTGCATTTGTGAAAACTTAGGTTTTACTTTCAATCACGTTCAATAACTAATAGATAAATTATCTCTTAGGTAATTTGATAAAGAAGCTTAAGGACCTCATGTAGTATTGTAATTGTATGGAAACATCTGATATTTGCAAAACTCCTGCAACTCACCCATTCAAAAATTAGCTATAATTAATATGTAGATGATTCAAAGATGTTTTGAAAAATGTCACTTTTTGCAGTGATTTATTTTGTATATATTTTAGAAATACATAATGGATCTATAGTTAGTTATCAATTAAAATATTAATAAGGCTGTTTCTACCAAATGCCAAAGCTCAATTTTATTTTTCCTAAACATCTCATCGCACCTCACTGTACAACACCAAAAATAGTGGCCAAAGCATTTGACTCTTTTGCTTTGTGACATTATTATTTTTTAGTTACGTTTGAACACTACAATTCTACATGCCACCAATGATGTCATTTTGAAATGTTTAAATTCAGAAGGGTTGGATAATGATAAAGTACACTTTGGGTTTTTGGAAAAGAGAGCTTTGTGATTTTTTTTTAGCATAAATAGCACACAACATATTCCTAACTTACACTGCAACACTGCAAACACACAGTATCAACGTGCACCGCTGTCCGTGGCCTCCTGGGGTCATCAGGACTGTTGGGGGCAGCCCTTCCTGGAGGTGAGAGGAGCCCATGCTCATTAGTCATAGCGCCGCTCATCCTCAGTTTCCGTCATCCACTAATTTGTCTCTCTTCCCCCCTTGTATGGAATATGATCTTGTAAGCTATCTTCACGCTCCCACAACCTCTCAAGCATTGGACACCTGGAAAAGCACTAAATTATTGTTTATGGGAACAATACCAGAACCAAGGTCACTGTCATCGAGTCAGTGCTGACTCTTAGCGACCTCGTGTGTGGTTTTCTGAGACTGTACCTGCTACAGGAGTAGAAAGCCTGCTCTTGGTCCTGGAGTGGCTGGTGGTTTCAAACTGTTGACTCTGCAGATCATAGTCCCATGTGTAACCACGCCACCACCAGGGTTCCTCTGGGAACAATAGATAAAGGAAAGAATTATTCAATTCATCAAAGTACCACTATGCTTTCCAGGGTCTCTAGGAGACAAAATATATTCCATAAAAGTGAGTTTGGTTTTTGGTTGGATGTTTCCTAGGTGTTAATGTGCCTGAACTTTTACTTGCAGATTTTTCAATGCAAACTCCTGACTCCTGTAGATCATGAGCTCTGTCTCGTGTACTTTGAACACATTGTCAGGAGAGACCAGTCCTTGCGGGAGGACATCAGGCTTGGGAGAGAGTTCACATAGAATAAGACCCTCTATGAGATAGACAGGCACAACAGTGCCACAACAATGGGCTCAAACATAGCGACAACAGTGAAGCAGGCACATGGCCAGGTAGCATTTCCTTTCATTGTTGACAGAGTCACTATGAATCAGAACTAGTTTGATAGAAACTAAGAACAATAAGAGATAAATATTCTAATGCCGTTGGTTATAGAGAACAGGGATTTGCACTTTCACAAGGGCAGCAATGTTTCTGATATAGGAGGAAAATATTGTTCTTTAAAAGCACTGAGCAAGTGCAATGAAGGAGTCTTTGATATTCCAGTAATTTTAGCACAATCACTAGGCAATTGTTCCTTAACCCTGAATGGCAAGGTTCAAAGTGAGTGAGGATCGGACACCTTGTGAGTGAAGGTCTTGCGTGAGGTTTGGGCACACTCGTGGAACCCTGCAGTTGGACGTTCTTCTGTTCTGCGCTTGTTTGAAGCCAGAATGGCTAGAAGGTAAAGCTAAGGACCAACTTGACCATGTCAGCAGACCACGGGATGGCCAAGGGATGCAGATAAACTCTGACATTCAGATGGGCTGCTTTAGGATCACTATCTAATGATTCATCATGATGTGAAATCTAGTCTCAAAATAAAGACATGCAGGCCTCTAGATGCCAGAGAGTAGCCTGAGTGTAGACATGACCTTCCTTGGTTCGCGTTTGAAGTAGCCTTTAGCTTTGGAATGGGTAGGAACTACCAAAGTTCTGCTGATGAGCAGCTTCCCAGCCCTGGGCGTGCTTCTAAGGTGCTGACCATAGTGGGAGGTTAGAGCATCTAAAGCCTTTGTGTTTGTTTCAGAT